ATTTTATATTGTTATCCCGCATTTCGGCAGTTATTTATTCAGACCTATCTTTGCTACTATGTTCTAAATGGTATCTGCTGACGTTTCAAACGTTGTATCCTCATGTTGTTACTACACGTTGTTTTGTTGTGCTAATATGTAGCCGTAAACTCATTTTTAACTGTAGGACGTGCGGCGGCCCCGCAGCACACTTTCAAAGTAGAGCAAGGCTGAAGGCTACTAATAAACGAGGTATGTTCAACAGAAAACCTTAGTTCTCTGTGTCACGAAGGTGTCTCTCTTTTACTCTGACCACATCACCATGCTAGCTGGTGCAACTAATCTGGTCTGGACAATAATAACAGTTTTAGATGGAAAGCATCTTAAAATTGCCTCTTTTTTTCGCTGAACATCTCCTTTGAAAGTAGCATCATGTGAGTCACACTTGTTAAGGTAATACATGCTAAATGAGCCGTAGCTTTCAATGCATCACCGGATGAAGCCTTGCAGTTACAGTAGCTCACTGCGGGTATCACGTTGCCAAGGGAACTAATAAAGCATACAGTGATCGGAATGATTTTGTATTGATGCAGGTTGTCATTGCTCATACTGAACTACTTAAACTCCAAGTAGACAATCGCTCCATTCCTCATTACCATAGATAATATCTAAGAAATAAAACAATCATTATCATTTCTTTACAGCTATTTATTAATGACTGACTTATATATATATATATATATATATTGTACTATTCTTAGTTAGCATATTGTCTGTCTTGTTAATGTTGGTTTATGTTGGTTTATAATGGAGCACTGTAACAAAAAATAATTTCCCCCAGGGATCAATAAAGTATTCTGATTCTGAATCATTATCAAATTCTGATTTGCCATAGATAAAGGGATTTTATAGGTAGGCTATCATGTAAAAATCTGCTACATAAAATTAATTTCATTTTCATGTGGTTTAGAGGTCAGCTATGGATACTCGGCTGTGAGAATTTTTAACAGAGCGCAAAGTTGAAGAAGATGTGATCAAGAAACTTGAAGATGAGAATGTAAGCCACTGCAGCTGTTGCTGTGTGCGTGCGTGTGTGTCTGTGTGTTTGTTTGTGAACGGAGAGCCGCAATCCACAATTTACTATGCACATTCTAAAAAGATTTATTGAATTTCATATTTTGGTTTAATCAATGACATTAATTAATGACATGATATGTTTAAAGAGTAATTTAAAAAGTAATTCTTGTTCATCTTATGTTGGACAAATGTGTACCACATTACCAAAAGTATCTGTTATCAAAAGTAGATAGCAAAAAACAACTCTAAAATATGCAGTTGTATGTATTCATTGTTTTTTTAATATTGACAATTTTATTAATTTGTTGTTTATATTTTTCAGATTGATGAAACTGTCATTCCCTTAATGACAGACAGTGACCTGGCAAAGTACATCCCCAAAGTTGGCGATAGAGTCTCCACTGTGGCCTTCTGCAGACAAGCAACACTGTCACGGACGTCACCATCCAGGAAAGAATCTATACTCTCAAGGCTACGACAAAGACTGACAGGAGCTGAGGGAATGCCTCCTAAAAAGAAATTGTCTCAGTGGGCAGAAAATACAAATGCAAAACGAACAGTGAGACGAACTGAGGTTGGCTGGATGGATTTTGATGAGGAGAAGGGTGGGTTCAAACAGGTGAAGTCTGTAAGTGGTGGTGGAACAAGGCATTTATCTGTAGATAAAAATGAAACCGTGTCAAATATCAAACTTATGGCTGAAAATCTGTTTTTCCCCAATGGCATCTCAAAAAACCCCAAAAGTCTTTCACACTAGTCAACTCATATTGAGAGCTCACAGATGCATGTGGATGCTTCCAGTACAGTTGATGAGTTGTATATGTTGTGCCCTTAAACAGGGGAAATAGTGAGGAGAGGTGAAAGAGCGGCACAGACACGCAGCTCTCACTCTCACTCGTCTGTATTGAGTGTCAGAAGCAATACAACCAAAACAATGTTCTTATGGATGCACTCAGTCTCAGGACAACTGTGTCCAAACTAAGTCACTATTGTTCGCTGCATTAGCTGATGAGAATACTTTAGATAACATGAACTGTAGCATTAGACAAAAACATCTTTTTAACTCGCACATGTTAGCTGACACAGTCACTAACTTTCCACAGCAATGAAATAATACTTTAAGTACTGCATGTCTTTCAGTAGTTAACTTATACAGATAGTAACAGAAAAATCTTCACGCAATATGGCGGAGTAATAGCGAAAACTAGCATACGCAGCAACAGAGATTAACTGGAACTTCTCAGAATAGTCCGCAATTCACATCTTTCGCTACAATGAACAATGATAACAACGTAATAATCAACAGTAACACACATTTATACAGATTTGTGCATGACAGTTACCTTAAACAGGGGAAATAGTGAGGAGAGGTGAAAGAGCGGCACAGACACGCAGCTCTCACTCGTCTGTATTGAGTGAAGGAGGAAGCGCGCGAACCCACCTACTGGAGCCCTGAGGCATTAGCAATGGATCGACGCACAATCAACCCAGGCAAAACTTTCACTACTTATCTCCCTCTATATTCCCACTGCATATTCTATTCAAAAACAGTCAAAGCAACCAATAAAACATTAATAAAGGCATCACATGAAATGTAAGGAACAGAGATGTACAACTCCAAAACTAATGAAAATTATGATCCACCACATATAAGCAAAGTAAGGTCAAAATTCTGCGACTTTATCTGTGTACCAGAAAGAAAACACAACAGCAGCCCCAAGACGTAGAGGCCGATCATGCAATAACCCAGCCCTCTGTGGTAGATCTCACTGACAATGAACCTAATCAGGCCGCTGATGATCTGTTGGTGGAAAACATAAATTCAGAACCATCAAACCACTTTGTAATTAATGATGGAGCTTCCATAAGTGGATATTTGGAACTGAATGACACATAACCATGGGATGGTCTGCCAAAAGTAGGTGAAAGTGAAGATTCTGATGCAGTTGTTATTATTAGTGGGGATAACAGGGTGGATATTAGTGTGGTTGAACTAAACCCTGAAACACTGTTTACAGAAAAAGAGTCTGATCCACGTCATCACACATTGTCTCTCTCACCGGGGCTGACAGGAGAGGCCAATATTCCTGACCAAGCACCCCCTGAACCACGATCTTGTCCCGTAATACTGACTGTTAGAAGAGGTCATTGTCTTACTGATTTGATCAGTGCCTTTAAGGACTCAAACATTATTTCATCTGAGGTCAATATCAAAATGTTGTTACCAAATGGAGAGCTTGAACAGGGGGAAGGAAGTGGTGTTTTGCGAGACTGCCTGACAGAATTTTGAATGGATTTCTATGACAGCTGCACATTGGGAGTTGAGGTGAAAGTCCCATTCATCCGGCATGACTTTCAGTGTGAAGAATGGCAGGCTATAGCTAGAGTGTTTGTTGTAGGGTGGAAACAAGCTGGTTACTTCCCAGTGAAGCTTGCAATACCCTTTCTGGAGGAGATATTGTGCGGCTCGACAACCAGTAGTTTAAAAGATTCCTTTCTTTTGGACGTCTCACAAGAAGAGCGATCTGTTCTCCTGAAGGCTTTGGATGACTTCAATTCAGTGGATACAGATGAATTGCTGGAAGTACTTGATGCACATGAGTGCAAGCAGGTTCCTACTAAGGACACACTGCTCCCTGTTTTGGCACAGATAGGACACAAAGTACTTATTCAGGCCCCAATGTCTGTAATCAAGTGCTGGCGTCCCGTTGTGGGTTCTGTAGCTGGTTTACTCCCACCAGAAGGACTGCATCATTTCATTGCAGAAAAAAACCCAACTGTAAAAACAGTGAAGGAGCTTCTAATCTTTCCAGAGGAGATGACAGCTGCCCAGTCAACAGTTTCTCGTTACCTGAAAAGGTACATTGGAGAAATTGATTTCAATATCTCCCAGACCACAGACTCATAATACAAGTCAGTGCTTTATAAAAAAAGAAAAAGAAAAAAGAAAGTTGTGTTTTCAAAATTGGAGTTCAAGTTATTTTTACTTCCAATAGTGTTAACATGCTACATGGGTAGTGTAGTATGTGTAGACGATTTTTTTTAAAATTTTCATTGTAAGTGGGCTAAAGCAGTTAATTAAAAGTAGTCTAACATAAACGCTGTAATTTGATTATTTTAATAAACAAGTAACTTGGATGGATTCGATGCTGGCGTCACCACAGTGCACACGTCTGCTGTTGCTCACAGTGGTCCAAGGGACGCTCAGGGAGTTTGTGTGTTCGCTCAGACACGTGAAACATTAGAGGGAACATTGTCTACCACACATCACACTCATAAAAAGCATGACTACAGTTTCATAGTTTTTATTATGTTTTTACTGATTAAACAGTAAAAGTTAATTAAAAAAATCCCAAAACAGATTCCCACTGATGTCAACATCTCCCAATGTTAAAGTTTGAAGGAATCAACACAGACAATTAAATGTGAAAATGTCACATTTGACTTCTTTTCTCATCAGCACATGAGCATTTATATCATAAATCACATTTATATTGGGTTATATTTGATCCTGTATTACTGAAAACTATGACTTAAGTGGAAGTTAATGAAAACTGATGATATTACTCTTAATTTATTGAGGCTCTTCCATAACTCAGATTATGTTATTAATCTGTTGCAGATCTTATTACTGCCTCATGAATCAGATTTTAACAGGATGTGTTCAGTTTAACTCTCTCACCACTTTAAAGGCTGAAGCTTTAAATCATAATATAATAATGTTTTATTTTTATAAAACATATTTTAAATAGAAACGCTTTTATAATTTCACCATAACAAAGTTCACTTCCTGCATGAAGGTGATCACAGCTCCATGAACTATTCCCACAAACATCACTGAGCCTCAGACTTTCTTTAACAGGCCTGTCAGACCACAGTGATCCAGCTGTTTGTGTTCATGTGCCGCATTTATACGTTTCATTTCAAATCTACTTCACATTTTATTATCTGATATCTGCGACACACGGAGACTTCCTGTTAAACAGAAAGTAACCTTTGTGCGTGGGCGTGTTTGGAGCTGCAGGTGTGTCCAGCTGTGGGTTCGTTGGGTCAGCAGAGGATTTAACGGGACTTTGTGTCGGTTTGTTTTTAAAGGAGGATGAAGACGCTGGTGGTGTTCCTGCTCCTCATGAACGGTAAGAAAGTCTCTGTTTAACCTGCAGCAGCTCCGCAGACAGTCCTCTGTGAGCGGAAGTGCTGCACTCAGGCGCAGCTCGCGCCTCTGACGTCCAGGGGTCTGCTTTGGTCTTTTCTGAGTAGGTAGTGCGATTCCCCCTGCCGTGAGCCTCTTTGGGCTCTCGTACTCTGGGGGCATCTAGATGTCTGGAACCTGCATCTCCTCCATGCCTGCTTCATCTCCTGGGGGGGGCTATGGCTCCATATACCCACTATTAGACAGTTACATGGTAAAAGCTTGTGAACACAAGCGCTCACACACACAGGTGCACACACACGTACTCACAGACACACTATCTTGGTTGGCTGCTGCCTCTAAACATATCATGTAGTCCTGTGTGCTGCTGTTAAGGGTTCAAATATTGAGGAGGGATACAGGAGGAATTCCAAAACAACAACACTGATCCGGCCGGGTGGAGTCAAACGATGATTTTAATGAACACACGCAGCGTGGGGAGATGTACACTGCAAAACATCAGCTGTAGATCTCCGCCCAAAAAGACACTTCAGATTGCTTTTGATTCATCAGGGTTAACGCCCCCTCATGCGTCATCAGATACAAAACATGCACACGTCAAGTCAAAACCACAATGACCTTTAACACAGTTTGAAAAGAACATCGCCTCGTCTCCATCCCAGGAGTCTTCCTGTCGCACGTCCTGCCCGCGCTCATCTTCTGGAACATCAGGCCCACCTTCTGCAACAAATTGTTCTTTTGCAAACACAATTTTGCAGTTGCAAGCTTTTACAAAATATCATTTGAACCTTCACCAACCCCCGAGTCTAACTGCTGTGTAAGTCTGTGTGTGTGTGTGTGTGTGTGTGTGTGTGTGTCGACCTGACATTCACTCAGTTTCACCTCTCACCTCACCAGCTAAACCTTGTAACCTTTCCACCAGACAGAAGGCCAGCACGTACACATTGAAGATTATAACAAGCATTCAAAAGCATTTAAGATTATAGATTTAACTCAACAGTTTAAAGTGGTTATAACTGCACCTGTAATAAAGGCTAATTGGGTACCAATATGTTTAAACATCTGAATGCAATATCAATATTAATTATTAATGCAATGGTAATGATGGTTATTAACAATAGCAGCAAAATATTTCTCTAATCCCCACACTGCTCAGTGTGTCTTATAAGCAGGTTTGGAGCAGATCCTCAGTGTTTCTTTCTCTCCCTCTCCTTCTGTAAACTTCCTCACCAATTTCTTTCTTTCTTTTTCTTTTCTTCGGAAGGTCTTTTCTGTTCTGATAGTAATATCTCAAAATAAAAAATCCTAATAAATTTCTAATAAAATATGACTGCCATTATAGCAAAAGCAGTAATGATGCACTTTGGGAAATAATTCTTTTGGGCATTTTTTTGGCCTTCAGATAATAATTCTCATTCTCGTCTTGTCCTGTGCAGCTATACTGCCGGACAGGACAGGCAAAAAACAGAATATAATAATCATGGCTGTCAGTGTTAACGCATTTAAGCCCCATTAACACAATTTTCATGACTAACGCGATTAACAATTAAGCCATCTGAGTGCAGAATGACTTAAAATCCCTGAAATGTCTCTGTCAGTGCATTTTGGGCAGTTTTTCTAAAGCTTGTGCAGAAGCCCCCCTGCTGGCTGAGCCTCATCCAGGGGTCTGCTTTGGTCTTTTCCAAAAGAAAAGAGAGAGACTGCAGCAGTCCAGGAGTTTGGTTAATTTTTTTAAATTAAGTCCCACCAAAGATTTGTTTACATGAAAATGTTTGTGAGGCTTAATCTGAGTTCGGTGCAGCCAAACTTGAACTTCTTGTTTTATAGTAAACAGCACGTGTGACTATAAAGATGGTTTTCTGGAAACAGAAATGGGCAATTTTATAATTAGCAGAGTCACAGATAACTAGGAAAACAATCACAACACATCATCTACTCAACACAAGCAACATCTCACAATGTCCACAAGGGGTCACTGCAGACCCAGAATTGGCTAAATAGCGCATGTCTTCCAAGTTGCTAATAGTGAGGCTTTTTTTTTTATGAACTTTATTTAGAACAATAACAATGACAATCTCAAAGAGACAAGCGACATATTAAATCAATCAGAACAGAATCACATCTCCTATACACCACAATGAAATCGACAATAACTGAAAGTAAACATACATACACACATACATATATACATATATGTGCATATACACATGCATACATACACATCCATATTCACACATCTACATAATAATAATATAAAAAGATGAATAACCAATACAAAAATAAATAACAATAAAAAAAGAATGAAAAACAAGGAACAGAAATAAAGAAGACAAGGGGGATCATAAAATCTCTAAAAGTGAGGTTCCATAAACAAGACACATAACTTAAATAGGGGGCTAAGAAAAATCAAACTCTTCTAAAAATCTATGCAATTTGATTGCTTGGGGCTTATTTATTAGCTTAAGAGATTTACGGAACAGGGAGAGGTCGTTTTTAAGAGCAGGCCATGAAGGGGGGATTTAGCATATCGGCATTTATGTATGTAATACTTTGTTATAATAATGAGATTGTTAACTAAAAACTCACTATTTTTGTCCTTAAGGATTACTCCAATTTGAATATTTTGAAAAGACCAAAAATCAATATATCCATACTGGGACAATATTAGGACATGGAGAGATTTCCATAAGTTCTGGATTGTCACACATCCATAGAACATGTGCTCTGTTGTTTCCAAAGTTGTTTTACAAATATAACAGTTGTCTAACACAAATTTAAATCTGTCTCTCATAAATTCATTGGAGGGTAAATATTTTTGTAGTTCTAAAATGGACTTCTTTAAATTTGGGGGAATTGGAAATGTTAAATATTTGGTTCTGATCAACGAGATCTCAGATTTGTTATAATCTTTAAAGACGAGTGAATGTTTTGTCCTACCTGGATATAAGGTGTTAACCAAATACCTCCTCAAAAACTGATTATTGCATTTTCCATTAACCAAGTCAAGACCATCTAGTTTAACTTTATGCAAATTTGGAGTCTGTATATTTGAAAAATTGTTCTTTACCGTATTTACAAGGACTGTTGGGATATTCTGTGAAACCTTGTTATAGAGCTCGAACGAGCAACTCATGTCATATTTCTCATTAAGCCTGTTTAATTCAAGTATATCTCCATTTTCATCCATTATATGTGTCACAGACCAAATTTGTTTTGTCATCCATTCTTCCACAAACATAGATTTCCCCCAATTCAATATCACCCTATTATTCCACAGTGGAACATTGTGGGGACTGATAGTGAGGCATAAATATGACAAGCTAGCAACAGCTAAAGGAAACCATAGAAAAGTCCTTTATTCCTCATCCCGCTGATTGTAGTCATTGCAGGAGATTACAGCCAGATTATAATCAGCATCATGTTAATGAATCTGCCAAAGTAAGAACACTTACAGATCCATCAACTCACTCAGTCACACAAAACTGCATCATAGCTGCGTTACAGCAGCTCCTTCAGTCATTCCCACTCTGTGTGCTGAGCACGTGACCACTGGTGCGCTTGTTTCCTTTGGGTGCGCTTGATTCTTGCTTCTAGACATCCTGAGGCCGAGTCAGAGCAGGAAGTTGGAACAATGTTTGTATTTTTGTGCAAAGCTAACTGAAGCTTGTGCTGTATTAACATAATGATAAATCATATCAGTATATGTGAGTACAAACTTTAGTCTAACTTTTTATTCTAACTGTATTCAGCTTGAACCAGAAGAAAAAGAAGGACAATAAAACTATGTTTCTATTTCCTGTTGCTACATTGTAGAGGGCGACTTTGCCTCTAAACAGGAACATGTGTACAGCCCTGCATCAGCAGCTTCATTCTTATACAGACCTTTCTACTCTGTGTGTTAAACTGAGCTCTATGTTTGCTACATAGCAGTCAATGAATCCAGTTTTTACACCACAGTTAAGTTAATGTAGTTAAATCTGTGTATTTGTAACTCAAACATTCAGTGTTTTAAACAGAAACCTGACTTTGACATATTTAAGTTGGTATGAACACAGTCAGAGCTGCTGCTGCTTTTATTGTTCTGTTGCTTTTTCAAAGCTTTCTGTGCAAATCAATAGAAATATTTATTGTTGCATCTTAAAGCTGCCAGCACAGCAGCAGCATGAGGAGAAGAGTGTTTGCTCAGGAAATACACGGGTCACGGCTCTGTCAGGCCCCTGCTTGGGTTTTTGTTTTTTAGGCAGGTTTGCAGCAGATCCTCAGTGTTTTTTTTTTCTCTTCCTCTCCTTCTGTAAACTTCTTCAGCAGTTTCTTCTTTTTCTTTTCTGTTCTGATTGTAATACCTCAAAATAAAAACTTCTAATAAACTTCTAATAAAATATGACCATTATAGCAAAAGCAGTAATGATGCACTTGGGAAAATCACAACACATGTAAGAAGAAGAAAGTTCAGATATGTGTTTAAAATTGTAGGGAGTAAAAAGTAGTTAGAAAAAAAACTACTCAGGTAAAGTACAGATACCTGAAAATTGTACTTAAGTACTTACTGCCCAACTCTGGAGAAGTTTTTATTACTCACATTATGTAAATTATCTACACGGCTCTACACTAACTTTTTGCCTTGTGTTACCGCGCCAGATCCGCGGCCTCGAACCGTAGTAAACCTCTGGCAGTTACTTCAAGGTTCCGTAACTGGCTCGTAGCCGGCAACCAGCTTACTATACAGGTCAACTCCGCTCGCAAAAAGATCGAAGGAGGCATAGGAAACTGCTTCACCGAGCTTTATTTCTTCTCTAAGGCACGAACACCGCGTACAGTGGGCTGAAACAGTTTACTCACAGCGAGCATCGCCGACACAACTCTGGCTGTCGAGGGAGTATTATATTCCTTTTATTTATTGTCTTCCCGTCTCTTCTGTAGCTAACCGTTACTTTTCACCTTCTCCGCTCTCTCTTCACACACCGGCGCAGTCCCGCTACACAC